TGTTGCCCAGGCGGGTCTCAAACCCACAGGCTCAGGCAATCCACTCACCTCGGCCTCCCAAAGTGCTGGGATTACAGGCTGAGCCACCGAGTCCAACAAATTTACCTGTTTATAATTGGAAATAAGTAGGGACAAATCATTTCACATCCGTGTGGCCTATTCAATCTAAAAGGTTTTTTTTTTTTAAATCAGACCATTACAAATGGAAAAGTGGTCAAAAGTTTCATATTTATAAATGTTCTTAATTTTCTTAACTACTTTACAAATAAGATTATATCCTATGGAGTATTAAACGCCCAACTCCAGAGGCTACACTCGAAGCTACAAGTACCAAGCTTCCAATTACAGAAAAACTTTTGAGGTTTTTTCCAGCCGAGATGTTAGAGAAACAAAAGGGTGCTAATGTGGAGGACGGCGAAACCCAAGGGCCAAAAACAAGCATCCCAGTTGGCATTCACCAGCAGTGATGAAACTCCAACTGCCCAACAGAGACCTGGTAAGAACAAACCTATTAAGGGGGATGGTGTCCATTGCCATGGGTGCAATCTGTGGGGGACACTTGAAGCATAGTTGCCCTAAAGAGGCCTAAACTTCCAAGACTTTGTCCACACTGCAGGCCAGAGATCCACTGGGGAGTGGGTGTGCCCTTTTCCCGAGGGAAGGGGGAACACCTGGCCCAGAAAATGGTGGCCACTGAGGAGGCCTGGAAATTTACAAAAGAGCCTGGCACTAGCTCACCTTCACCCAACAACCCCCGGGTGAACATCAGGGCCCCTGAACCCTAATTAATTTAATTAACACAGGTGACAGCTGCTTGATCCTGGCCATCGAAGTTGAACCATACAGCCTTGTCTTAATGAAAAGTTACTAAAAGTTTATTCAAATTAAAAATGTAAAAAGTTATCTATAAAAAGGCAAAAAAGAAAAAAACAAAAAGCAGAGATGTAAAGAAAGTTGTTATAAAAGTATATTTTTGATAAGAAAGGATATAAAGGAAAAAGAATAATTTTGTAAAGGAAAGGATCTTGTATGGTTAATTTTTGTCCTATAATAGAGTGATTGTTATTCGGGAAAAAGGAAAGTTCAGGACAAAAATAAAGGGTTCAAGTATGTCATAGAATGTTATGTGTAAAGAGAACGTATAAAAGAATTGGCAATCTCCAAAATTTCTGTCTATTCAACAGAGGTGAGAAGGACGACACAAATTCAGTTAGCCCCCTGCTGTCTTTGCTGGTTTTTGTTGTTTTAATATCTCCTCTATTAAGAAGTGAGTTTTTTTGTTTTTTTAATTTTTCAAGATCTTTGGACTCAATCTTTGGCTAAATAAGAAACTTTTACAACGGCCTATACTCCTGGGGTTATAAATTCATTCTCTTAAAGCCTTTAATACTTCAACTTTTCAACATGTAAGTTTCAGGTTCTCAATTCAGTATCTCTAGGGTGGGGTAAAAAACAAAAAGCAGCTGGGCTCAGTGGCTCAGCCTGTAATCCCGCGCCTTTGGGAGGCTGAGGTGAGTGGATTGCCTGAGCCCGCAGGTTCAAGATCCACCTGGGCAACTTGGAGAGACCTCATCTCTACAATAAATCAAAAAAATTAGCCGGGCGTGGTAGCATGCGCCTGTAGTTCCACTACTCGGAAGGCTGAGGCGGAAGGATCGCCGGAGCTCAGCAGGTCGAGGCTGCGGTGGCCAGGAGTGGCCACTGCGCTCCCGTCTGGGCAACAGAGCGAGTCAACAACTCTAAAAAAAAATAAATAAATAAAAGTCTGGCAGGTCTCCTGCAAAAGATGCGTTCGGGAAACAACCATCCATCCTCCAATTTCTCCCATCAGAAGTGGAGAGAGGTCCATTTCCCATTTCTCCAGAATGGAGGTTACCTGGGATCCACCCCCTTTAGCATATCAATCATTGAAAGTGAGACTGGAGATAGCTAGAGAAAGGCTAGGCAGACAGACAGGCAGGTCCTCTGATAGCAATTTGGTGAACTCCTGGCAGGCCTCTCAGGCTCAGTGTTGGTAAACAAGCTCCCTGTAAGCCTCTCAAGCTAGAGCTAAAGTCCTCACTGCTGGAATTCAAAAGTAACCAATCAGAACAGCAACAATCGGCCAGTGCTGGCCAATCGGCTTGGACTTAGGGCTACATAAGCACCAGGTTTTCAGTCCCAGATGGGTAACCCTTTCGGGTCCCCTCCTGCTGTGGGAGTTATCCTGTCCTGCTTTCTTACCTTCGATCTGTCCATGTCCCTCATTCTTCCTGGGCATGAGACAACCTTGACCCTGAAGAGCTGCAGGAAATCATCAGAGTCGAAAAGCCACGTACCCGAGGGCTAGGCTTGCCAGCTTGTTAGCGCCAACACCCTGGGGGCTAGGCCAGCCCCCCTCAGTCGCAACACTCAGGGCTTGGTTTGCCAGCCCACTAGAGCTGACACTTGTCAGCCCCTTCACTACTCTCTCTGGGGCTTGGTTGGCTGACCCATTGAGCTGACACTCTTGAAGCCCAGGCTGACGTGAAAAATCTGCAACAAAAGGTGTATCGGGCCATGCCACCTGTTTTAAGTTCTCTTGAGCATTATTTTCCTTTTTTTTTTTTTTTTTTGAATGGACTTACACTCTGTGGACCAGACTGCCATGTCCTGATCAGTTCTCCGTAGTGAATGCCATAACATGTAGGATACACAAATGACTTATCAAAGTGAAAAGCTTCTGCAAAGAAAAAGAAGCCATCGCGAGAGTGGAGAGATAGCCTATAGAATGGGAAAAATATTTCCAACTGTATATCTGACAAAGATAGAAAAAGAGAGAA